CCCGGCCATCTGTTTGTGACCTCAAGCTGAAGCACACTTGGGTTCTGCAGAAGGACAATGATCTAAAACACACCAGCAAGTCCACGTCTGAATCGCTTAAGAAAAACAAAATGAAGATTTTTGGGTGGCCTAATCAAAGTACTGACCTGAATCCAGTTGAGATGCTGTAGCATGACCTTAAAAAGGCGGTTCATGCTTGAAAACCCTGTGGCTGAATCACAACAACTCTGCACAACCAGTTATTAGGTTTAGGGGTTAATCACTTTTTCACTCTGGGCCATGTACGTTTGTACTTTTTTCCACCTTAATATTAAGCGCCTCCATTTAGAAACTGCATTTTTTGTTTACTTCTGCTATCTTTGTCTAATATTTCTTCAATGATCTGAAACATTTAAGTGTGGAAAACATACAAACAAAGGAAATCAGGAAGGGAGAAAACATTTTTTCACACCAATAAAAACATACATACAACAACATTTTATCTGTGTTTATTCTGTGTCTTTTTTCATTTCGTGAAACATGCAAAGAATTATTAAAATATTTCTTTATTATTTTGTTCTTGTTTTTCAGAACACAATGTTGGCACTAATATCTGACATACCTCTGCTGCTCTAGAGACTCCAGGTAAAGAAAAGCAGAACCCATGAAGTCATCCTGAAGGCCGAAGTCATAGTCAAACACCTGCAGAAGAGAAATAAACAATCTCCACTGACCAATGTTCATTAAGAATTTATATGGAAAAGCTGTGTATGTGTGTGTGTGTGTGTTAGTTCTAAGTCTTTACCTTGACATACAGAGGTTCATTCAGACTGTCAATGATTAAGGTCGTCTTCTCATCCCACACTGGGTTGAGGTTTTTATGGATGATTTTGCTCCTAAAAACCTCTTTGCCAGCAAGCTTGAACTTGACATATGGATCACTTGTTCCTACATCGACGAATAAAAATAGACAAATAAAGCTATCACACATGCATAAAAGCAAGAGCTGAAAAATGCAATTAACTACAGATGTCACTGCACCTCCTCTGTCCCGGACAGCCAGGTTGTGTCCTCTTTTCAGCTCGATCTCCAGCTTGTACATCCCCGACCGAGCTTGGTCAGAAGAAAACCCCGAAGGACATGAAGTACCCATTCCCTGTTAGCACAAATGAATGCATTAAATACATGCAATAAACTGCTTCTCTACAAAAGCCCTCTCAGCCACATCCTGACTTTAAACTCACCAACATTTTTTATGAGAAGTCTCTTCCAGCCTGTCACTGAAGTGTAGTTTCACTAACTCATGGTAGCTATCTACATCTAAGCTTACACACTTCCTCTGACCAAAGTGTCTAATTCAGCTTGGTATCTTGTCCCAGGGGTGATTACTAACAGGAAATTACATGAAAGAACCTTCCTCCTATCTGATCACAGTGCTGAGGTGCAAATTGTTTTCCATTTCCTAAAACTTTCATTGCGGTTGCAATATGATCACCTCTGTGGCAATGCAGAAACAGAATATAAGTAACAGCATGGGCATGAGTGGCCTAACGCTGCTTTAATACCTGTTATACAGTTTCTGCGAGACAGGACCGTTTAACTTCATTGAACATTTCTACACATATTGAAAGTGGAACTGTCACAGACATCTGCACTCTGCCACGCCAAAATCAACTATACATGGATATTTACAAAGACCACAGATGGAGCTCAGTCCATGGGTCAGTGGGACATGTTTCAGAGTCTGTGATCAGGGAGATTAATATAAGAACGACACAACTAGAGACAATAAATGACTATAAAAACTTACATACAAAGAGACACTAAATGACAGATATATAAACCTCATTTGTGGTCCCTGCATTGGCTGTGTGTCGTGACATGCTGCAGTTTTGTTATGGTATCACTATGCATCACTAAAACAAAACCCTTCCTTAATGCTGGTAAAGTCATTGAAAAGATCAAAACAGGAAGTAAAAGATTAAAGAGTTTCTCAGCATCAGAAAGCCTCATCTTTCCAGCTCCTGCACTGATAAATGATTAAAATGATGCTAAAGACTGACCCAGTCTCATGTTTGTGTCTTCCACCAGTTTGCATCTGCTTGCAATGATTCGCTTATTGAGTTCAGTCACTAATCCACAACTGAAAGGCACAAAACAACTACAGAGACACACAATACAACCATGGGTTCACCACTGTCAGTAAAACTTTACGCATTAGATAATGTAATGTAATGTGCAGTGAGTCATTTAATTCTTAGGTGTTCTTAAAACACCATACAGGTGGTATAACTCATCTTATTTTTCATTGCTGGAATTATTTCCATGCAATATTAAAGCTAAGACACTTCATTGAAAACATGTCTGTAAGCAATCACTGACAATGAAACATCAATCTGCATCCATCACTGCAAATGTAACACAACTACTCTGCTGGGAGAGCAGCATCCTGTCAACACAAGCACTTCCACTCAGAGAGATGCTCTGATCAATATTTCTACAATATGATATTATATATGAGCTCCTTACAGTGGACTCACTGGAAAACAAACTGAGCATGTGTACTGTACTGTACACATATTCACAGACTACTTACAATAAATTTTTGCATTGCAATATATTGAATAATGTAGTGACAGCTGAAACTAATTTTGATTTTTAAGTAACTTCTTGATTTGTCTTCATTAATGGTTCAGTTTGACAACACTGTGAAAAACACTGTAAAATACCAAAATATCTACATTTATGATATAAAATGGAAAAGAAACTGCACACTGCAGAAAGAAAATTGGCTACAGACAAGTTTGTGATCTAAGTTTTCTAATTGTCTGTTTTATTTAATTCAGTAAACAGGTGCTACATTTCTTTTTTTTAAAATATCCTGTCAAGTCTGGCAGCTTTTGTAATCAGAATTGCGATCTGAATGTATTGTGGTACCAAACAAATGTTGCTTTTGCAAGAACAGCTATATAGAATCTCTATAGCCTCCTCTTTCTTATGTGAATCTTCATCTATTTATTTATTTCTATTTGTGTTACTTCAGTTATCACATTTATAGGCAAGAGAGCAAAAAGAGGAGGTGGTGGTGCGGTAGAGGAGAGATACGGGGAGATAGAAACAAATAGAAATGCACAATGTATCGCCAACTCCAGTACCTGTTAGAGACAAAACCACCCCTCTAATACGAGTTGAAAACAGGGTCCCAGGGCCCCAGACCACCCGGCAGAGCCCTCCCCCCCGATAAGGGAGATGTCCAGGCCACAGAGGGCCACCATGGGAGCGGCCCAGCGGCCACAAGAGAACATCAAGCCAACACCTTATTGTTCTACACTTTGGGACCAGAAAGAAGAGGAAGAAACTGAAAATCACTATGCAAAGAGAGTGAGTCATCAAAAAAACCTGAACCAGCAGAGCGCTGCAACTCAGCGCTGTACAGGGATGCTAGGTTGAGCTGTGGTTCACCAATCAGCTCGTTTGACCACTTAATTTGATTGAGTGAGTTTCTGTTCTTTAAAGATAAATCTCTAACACAGAGCAAAGGGATAAAATAAATTCAGTAAAAGTACAATAAAATCAAACCATCAGTTTTTTTTATTAGTTTGGCTAGTCGAAGTCTTGTCAAACATAATTATGAAGTAGCACACAGCTTCAGAGTTTCAAAGCTGTAAGATACAGCTTTGAATTTTGCAGCAAACTGTGAATAGAAAGAATTTTGTCAAATAAGTCAGAGATTTTGTGACTATAGTTTGAAATTAGGATTTTGTGGTTAGCGTTTTTGGGGGGGTTTTAATGGTGGAAGGTTTCGCATATTGTGTTTTAGCGAGGGTGAAATAAGGTGACTGAGTTAAGACCTTAAGTCAAGACTATGTAAATATACATTTACCAAAAAAACTGTGGTAAAAGTGTGATTTTATATTGATGCAGTGATGTAACAACATAAATTATAAACCACTTTTAAAGCTTTATAGCATCAAGTCTTACAGCTTTCCTGCTCAGCTATAAATCCGGTAGACACATTATGAAACACAGGCTTGCTTTCTGAGGGTGAAACTTCTGAAGTGTGCCAAGTTCTGCTCTGGCAAGCTGTGGAAATTCCACTGGTGGAAACAGAAAACATGATAATAAAGTGAGTGAGACTATCCTGTGTAACATGAGGAGGCTGAGTGTGTCAAGCTGTCTGTGTGGAGGCTGGATTGTTGGAGGAGGGCTGTTAAAGTCTTATGTAGCCTAGTCTCCACCCATAGCTGCATGTAACAAGTAGGGTAAGACATATGAAGAGATAAAATCCAACCAGCAGGCAACTTGTCTGAGAGTATAAAGTTTCCTGTGTCAATTTTATGTACTGTAAAATTACTGTGCCTGAGTCTTGAGCCACTCCTCATATCTTTATATGAGCTTTCTGAACGTCTTTCAAAGTCTTTCTTTAGACACTGGCTGCTCTTTCACTCGCTTTCAGTCCAGTTTCGCAGGACATCGCTTTTTCTTGTTGTTTGTCAAACCACTTAACTCTGACCTTCTAACTATTCCCAGATCAGTGTGGGTTCATTTTGTCAGAGAATCGACCAAAAGGCAGCGAACATCCAAAGAAGAAAACAAAGTCTATGTTACCTTATAAACTGTATGTGTTTTTCTATGTATATATTTTGAATAGCGAATGAAATGCAGACCTCCTTTTGCTCATTTGTCAGTGGTTGCGTTCATGATAAGGTTACATTGCATACTAAGCCTTTCTTGTCTGGATTTGGCTCCATGTTTCATGTCCTGTTTACATTAGGAATGAGTGCCTCTTTTTTAACTCATTATGAGAGCCCACTATTTGTGTGGGTTAACACAAGCATGTGCAGGTCATGTACAAAGGACAGTCTTGTGTAAAATGTAATCTACAGAGGTAGCTCTGGGTTATTATCACCTGGCTTTCTCTAAAATTACCTCACAATGCTGGAAGTGATTGACTGTGTGCCCCAAAATGAGTCACTGAGCACATAAACTCATCGGGAAAGTGTTTGGAGAGGTTAAATCCAAGGGCCGTTTTCCCACTGACTTCTGTAGGACCAGATGTCTGTTTACAGCGTAGAGGAATATACAGGAAGACAGTATGTCTTCCAGAATCCAGCTTTAATGCACTTCCACGTTGGCTTTGGGTTCAGACCCAGAAATTGAAATGTCCATTTTTTATTCTTTCTGTGATCCAGATCAAAGTACTGGATCACTGGTAATGTAGCCTTTTGCATGTTATTATCATCTTTTAAAACCTTGGGCATCAGAAGAGCTAATGACCTTTACACACCAAACACTTGAAACTCATGCAAATATTTTGTGTAATAAAAATTATTCTCAGTTATTGTAGTTATTATAAAATGTAGCCATTTACACCGGCCATGAACTCTTGCAGAATTAATTTGCAGCATTTATTTTTTTGGAGTCATGCTTGATTTTTCAGATAAACAGATCTGACCAATCATACCGCTGCATTTGGCAACAAGCACACTCATAGCTCAAAGCCCACACCAGTACTGAATATGCAATGATATGGAAATCTTTTCGCAAGCCTCAACAGTTTCCCCTGTTTCAACTATTATGCTAAGCTAAGTGGATTCTAGCCTCAGCTACTTACTAAACACCCAGACAAACAAACAATAATTAAGTGTATTCCCAATGTCTGTTCCTTTGAGTTGTGAGAATTCATGCCAGTTTTACACTTGGTGGCATTGGTGATTGTACTTTTGCTTTTAAAGCGTGACTGGAGAAAATCTGTGGTACGAAGACTCTTAGAAAATGTACCAGTCACATCTCTTGTGTGAAGCTGTTTGTTATCTCTCATCTTGGCAGTCAACAGCAACCATCTATTGCGGTGTTACTTTGGCTTTCATTGCAACAGCTCACAGGTTTTACTGCTTCATTGTGACCCAGCATTAAAACGTCTTTGCACACCCTGCAGCCTATCACTTTGGCCGGTATGAAAGACGAAACAGATGAGTATGGAGGCCAAAAAGTGCACAAACCCAGTCCGAGGCTGAATCAGGATGTTTACATTATATGACTAACATGTTCTGCCAGAATTAACAAGCAGCTTAAGAAAGGCTTAAATGTCCTGTGGTACTAAATCAGGAAGCAAAGCGCCAAGCTGGGAACACCCCCAGCTACACCGATACATGC